CATCTTTGAACAAAGCCCTTCCCTCTATAAATCCTTCAATATACCTTACTGATTTTTATCATCCCTAAAAGTATTCTCAAATTGGCCTATAAGGAAGACTGTATCCCATTCTATCTAATAAAATTAAACATAAGCATTTTAGAGAAAGGATGTTAAAATGTTGGAAAAATACCTTAAAAGTCTCAAACCTAGGATATATGTCCTCTAGTACCAAGCATGGCATCTGACTGGCCCATTTCTCAGTCCAGAGCCCCATGAAGTTCAATTCTAATCTATTATGAGTCAATAATCAGAAAGATGATTTAATCATTAGAAATGCTCATATTTGGTTCACTAATTTATACATATTTATCAGTCATGAAAATCAGTCTATTTTATGTTGATACCAAAAGGAAGGTATACTATAAATACTAGCTATTTATGATCATATGATATGAAACAATTTACTTCTCTTTAAAATGACCAGTTTTCAAATTACATTTGAATTCTCTCCCATTACCACAGTTTTATTTGGTCAATTATATTCATGCTTAGAATCTCCAAATCTATAATGTGATTGGGAATGAATGTCACGAAAAATACAGTTCCTAATGTCTTACTATATGACACTCTTAATATGCAAACTTAAAGCTATCTACTAAAAAAAACTGCTTACTGAATGCCTATGTGGCCCAGCACGATGAAGGATGTAAAGAAGTAGACAGCTTGGTTTTGGACTTTAAGGACTATGTAGTTGGAAAATTTCTTTGATGAAGGTGAAATTGATCAGTAAATTGATTAGTAAACATGGTTAGAATAGAAAAAGAGATTCACAAACAAGTGGGGATTTGGGCTGACCCCTAATGTAAGAATAACATTTGGAAAGGCAAAGAATAAGGGGAAGGGTGTTCTCAGTGAGGGACCCAGAATCACCAGAGAGGTGGAAATTTGCATAGCACATTCCTGGAAAAGTAAGGAGAACCAGTTAGAAATGTCTATTGGGAATATTTCGGAGAAATAAGAAATAAACTTGAAATTTTTATGTGGAGTCAATTTATGGAGTACCTAATTAGTTAAGAAGCAATGATTTCACCCAGGCTCCTGGCCTTGGCTTTCTTTTGCTCTTATAGCTACATTATTTTGCATAATACTAACAGTATCCCTCATCAAAGAGCATCTTTCCAGCTTACGGTGATTCCCATACATGGGGGTAGGTTAATTCCTGGAAGCCGTGTTTATATAACGTGGTTCAATCCTAATGTCAGTTGAGTGAAGGTGGAGATGGCTTATTCTTACTAGAACAGAGATGCTACTCTCGTACTATGGAATGGAGATTGAAAGGGATTGAATCAATCTACCTCTGGAATGTGAGGTGTGATCCTTGGAGCATGGGCAGCCATCTTGTGTCTGCCACACGGACCTTGCAGCTAGAAATCACTCTTCCCAGGAAAAAGAAGAGGGGACATCCAGAGAGAAGCAGAGACATGTGATGGGGTACCTGCAGTTCCCAGTGGCTTTCCAGTTCCCACTTCCACTGCTTACCCAGTTTTACCTCTGGTCCTGGATTCTGACACACATCTTTTATTATCAATCCTTTCTTTCTGCTTAAGCTAGCTTGGGTTGGGTTCCTCTTATTAGAAACCCAAAGAGTCCTAATACAGTGATGAATCAAGAGATTTACTGAAGCCCTGCTGTTGTTTACTTTTGTGTATGTTCCCTCCACTTGTGCTGTAAGGACAAGCTTTCTTTTATTTTGTCTTTGCTCAACGGTAGTGTGAGTAGATTGCTATTCCATTTGTCTAAGTGTCACAGAACACAACCCCTCTCTATCCCTTCCCCATCCCCTACCCATTTTCCTTTTATTTCTCTTTACTCTCTGTCCTTGAACGAAATGCTAACAAAGAAATACAGAAAGCCTGGGAGTATAATTTACATATGCCTGAGGCTTATGAACAGATAATGGGTTCATTAGCGCAAATCTCCCAGGATCTGTGATGTAAAGAGATAGGACACAAGAAGGTTTAAAAACCAATATGTTGGCCGGGGGCGGTGGGTCACACCTGTAATCCTAGCTCTCTGGGAGGCCAAGGCGGGCGCATTGTTTGAGCTCAGGAGTTCGAAATCAGCCTGAGCAAGAGCGAGACCCTGTCTCTACTAAAAATACAAAGAAATTAATCCGACAACTAAAAATGCATAGAAAAAATTAGCCGGGCATGGTGGCGCATGCCTGTAGTCCCAGCTACTCGGGAGGCTGAGGCAGAAGGATCGCTTGAGCCCAGGAGTTTGAGGTTGCTGTGAGCTAGGATGACGCCACGGCACTCTAGCCCGGGCAACACAGTGAGACTCTGTCTCAAAAAAAACAAAACAAAACAAAAAAAAAAACCAATATGTTCAGATCGGGCAGGGCTACTCTATGCAGCTGGAGTTATTCCGGCGCCCACATGAGGGATAAGGCCACTCCCCTACTTTAGGGACCCTCAGCAGCTCCAGTGCAACTGTGTCCCCATGCCTCCTTAAGAGTCCTACTCTTTGTCGTCTGAGCCACAGTAGGTTCTGTCAGATGTACATAAAGCCATTGCTATCCTTTATAGCCTGAAGAGGTCACTACTCTAACTAGAAAATCACAAACCTGGAGTCTTCAGAGAGAAGCCCCTTCCTGCTGACAGGATTGTGCACAGAAAGTAGGTGAAGACGCCTGAATGCTCAGAAGCCTTGAAGGGCCTCCTGCAGGCAGATAACCAAGCCCTAAACCAGCTAGCTGACGACTGTGTCAGCACAGTCGACAATTTATCCAACAGCTAAACTAAAAATAACCTGTCACTTCACCACAGCAGGCCTGCCTGGCGCTGAGGTGCCAAACAAATGCTGAAATACAGGATGCTGCTGTATTTCCAACAATTTCAGGTCTCATGATGTCAAGAGGGATTCAGAGATTTGAATGTGACGATCGTCCAGGAAGGCAGCCACTGGTGCTCAGTTTGTTGGGCTAATGTCTTGTCTTTTTTAGTAGTGATGTATTTGTGTCTGTTCAAAGGGCAATCAAGGTGTGACGTTGGCTTCTTTCTGACGACATTTGGTAATTGTGCTTCTTGGATAACTTATTTGCATCTGTAATAGGTCTTGTTCTTATTTTTTATAATCCCTACTAGGTTGGAGATCTTTAAGGGCAAGAATCATGTCTTCATCTATCTCTATATCTCTAGAACCTCACAAGTCTTGGCAATTTAGAAAGCTCTCAATAAAATATTTATTAGATAAATAAATGAATGAATAACTGAACAAACAGCAAAAATACAACCTTATGATGAGGGTCTAGAAAAACTTCTGAAAGAACCCAGTGACGGGTCTGACTCTTCAAGGAGTCAATGCAGTTAAGCGTCAGTAAAGGAGAAAGGTGGAGAGTCAAAGGAGATTGAATGTTCTAGGCATTCGAAATTTCCATCAAGGGAATTGAAAGCAGTTCAGTATGGCACCCGGGAGAGTGGATGGGGGTGAAGCTGAAAAGATGGGAAGGGGCCAGAGGAACCTTGCATACCCTGCTAAAGAGTTTGAATTTTATATTACGGGTCATGGGGAACCATGAAACGATTCTCAGTGGCAGAGGAACATAATGAGATTTTCTTTTAGAAAGTTTTCTTTGGCAGCAGTGTGGAGGGTCACTGATGGCAGAGGCGGAGGTGGGACTGCAGGAGCAGGTAGGAAGCCCTTGCAGTCAGTCGTTCAGGTGACGGATGATGAAGTCTGACCTATTGCTGGGAAGGTCTATTTCTGTTCTTTCTTCCACCATCAGTCTTCATCACACATCAGCACATCATATTCTCCTTTAGGAACAGTGCCTGGGGACACCAAATAGTAATAGAAAATGCCAGCCACGATAGGGCTTCACCAACTTTTATCTCAGTTGGGCCACCGCAACAGGTAAAGTGGTATTTTTCAGAGGCCCACAGGCTGAACCTCCTCTCCCCCAAAAAGAACTGGATGATCCTTTCTTATAACCACAATCCTTGGGCCACCTCACTGCTCTCAGCAGTTACTGTGCCCACCTGTCACTTTGTACTTTTTCACTCCCTCAGCAAGGGAATAAAAAAGTAAAAAACAAGAGGGAAGAAAAGAGGAGAAGAGAAAGGTGGCAAAGGAGCCTTTATTTATCTCACTCACGAATAAAGAAGAATTAAAGAAGAGCAGGAGCTGATTAAATCTTGTGGCCTATTACCAGGAGTCAAATTTTACAAAGGAAGTTTAGGATAGATGGGAAAACGTCCATGGATAATTGCTCAACTTATTTAGGGAGGAAGATGAGCTCTCCCTTCACCCTCTAGCATGCATCCAATGGGTCTACTTTTGATTTGAAATCTACCAACAAAGGGTTTGGATTTTAAGTCTTGGTTCAATATGAATGAGTTCCAACTTACAGCAAAGCTGTCAGGTTAGGTCTGGGAGGGTAAGAGAAAGAAAGAAAGAAGTAGACTGTGAACTTTCATTAAACCTCTATGTTGTTTGATTTCTTAGGGAGACAAGGTGTGATTTTTGTGTTTTGTAGAAAAAAAATCCAATAAAGTATAAAGAAGGAAAAAACTAATAACCTGCAGTGATGATTAGAAGGGTTAGACATGAAAGACAGACCTTTGACCTTAGAACCTGAACCAGGACAGAAAGAGTTAAAACCCAAATGAGAAGAGGGTTTCCACAAGGTCAAGGAGGTGAACTGGTAGACTGATATGTTTTATATGTTCTCCAATTTCTTTGGCTGGAATTTAGCCATGAGCCTGTTTTTATTTTTTTGTTTTGTTTTAAAATCTACATAGAGAACCAGTTTTAATTTATTCTACCATTTCATGCTGTAGAAATCTGGAGAAGGCAAAGACACATTAGAAAAGCGAACTTCTGCCTAATCATTAAGCTACTCTCCTGTCATTATTGGTTTCATCCCTATCTATGGAAGAGTAGTCAGATGACAGATGGCTGCAAATCACGCTCCTTATAGTCAGGCTAGATGAGGTGTGGGGTCAGGCTGTCCTCACCTTTATCCTGTCAATGTTGGCTTCCATCTTCAGCTGCTCTACCAGCTTCCTGGCTTGTGCTATGCTGGCAGTGTTGTTGCTGGCCATCGGAGTGCCGGATGGATTTTTCAGACACACTAGAAAAGAAAACAAAGAGGAAGAATGTATCAGAGAATCCATGAGCTGCCAAAGGTGCAGGTTCATCGGAACCTGGGAAATATCAGAACAGTGGTCATAGCCAGGCCCAGCTCCTCCAGCCCTCTCCATCCCTGGTCAGCACTATGTCTGATTAGCGGGCAGACAAGAAGATTTGATTTTCCAACCCTCCTTCCCTCTCTATCCCAAGGAGAAAGTTTACCAAATCAGGTAGAATAAGACATGCTGCCACACTAAGACAGCAAGCTGTTAAAATGATCTGAATTTTTAAAATGAGTTCAAAATGGTAAGGGTGACACTGTGCATTATTGCTGATGCTGTTCACCTGCTACAACCATCAGATACCATGTTAAGTGCCCTCAGAGGATGAGTGAGGCCAGGCAGGAGGATGAATGGTAAATTATAAACTCCTTCAGGACCAAAGGCTCTGTTTACAGTATTCTCCTGATGGGCTCAAACCCCACCCTTCTGGTTAACTGTGACCACCGTAGCCTTTTATACTGCAGAGACACTGCGATAGGAGGCGTGGCTTTTCAGGGTCACTTAATCCAGCATGGTTGGAAATAGCCGTTCCTCTCCACTCTCTTTGAAATATGGCTTGAGTCACAACTATCTCCTTTGCTCACAATTCATTAGGAACACATCTATCATGTCAAGGGGGTGGGGACTGCCATGTATAAATTGGTAAATACATCAATTAGCTCACCAATCTTATTCTAAATTCAGTACAACAGACTTATTACTTTTATAAATATGGCAATGGAACATAAATGTTTCCAGAGTGGAGTTCTGTCCCCATGTAGATTGTGAGGTGGTTTCTTTGTCTGGCTCTGCCCGACCCCCTCCCCATCTGTGCTCCCCATCTTCTTCAGGTCCTATCCCAATTTCATTTCTCTTATAACCCTTTCTTGATCCACTATCTCACTTTATTCTTGTTGTTCATCTTGAAAAGTATCCTCTTTTATTTTTAATGTCCATTTCTCCCACATTCTGAATGGGTCTTGCTCTGTGTCAAGGTGCCATATGCTGTTTCAGGACCATCTGTGTAAATAGGCCCCTTGAGGTCATTGACATCCAATAGCGAAGCAATATTTGAGAGATTCAATTTGACCAGAATGCAAATCCAGGAAATGAGAAGCATTAAACACTGCCTCAGTCAACACTGTGGACTCTTGTTCTGAAGACATCATATCAAAAACTGTTACTACTGCTAGCTTTGGGAAATCTTTTTATCTAGGGATGAAGTAAGATCAGGTTGCCTATCTTAAAAAGACAGAAAACCTGGTGGAGGAAGAATAACCCATAACAAATTCTGTACATAAATTTTTTACCTACTCATTAAAATCAAGAAATAATTTTTGTTTTTCTTGTAACAGAAGTCTATAAATTATCTCCTCTGGTACTTATGTATTGATATCTAATTCTTTAAGACATAAGAAGAAACTATGTAAAACTCTTTGGAAATATACAAGTCCCTTCATAGAGAGTATTACTTTATAAAGAATACTGCAAAATAAGCCACCCAAGAGCATTTATGGAATAAATTGGAGGATAATTGTTTCCTCAATTTTTCAAAAAAGAGCTTGGAGACAATAAAATGGGAGGGAAGACTGAAGGAATTTTTGAAGTCACAAAGATCTGTGACCTCTACTTTCATATGCTTGAAGATCAAAGGAGGGAGAACTGCATGTAAAAACAAAAAAATAAAATAAAATAAAAGGAGGCTTTAACAACTATGATTTCATCATCATGGTTAGGGACCTAATCGTCTTAGTCCCACAAGGAAATAATATGCCCCACAATTAAACAAATATCTAACAGCCTAGGAAGACTTCACAGGGTCAAGATGGAGCATTGACTTCCACAGTAGGGTGGCCTAACTCTTTCATTCATCCAAGGTTGGAAGCAGCCATGATCTACAAGCCCCTGGACACTGCTCTGTGAAGCTAATGTTTCTGCTATACTGGGATTCATTCATCACACTGGGAATGCAGATTCTCCCAGAATTACCAAATGTTCATTGGGGCTGCAGGAGCTCTGGGAGTCTGGCCAGCTACTCTTCTACCCTTGAATTTACACCAGATCACACAGTGACCTGCAGCAGAGACCACAACCTGCCTCCCAATACCTCTTCCTTTCTTCTTCATTAGTAATGACAGTATTTTTCTTTTTTAAACAGAGACCACAAGAGCCCTGAATTTTAGCTAGGTATATTTTGCTGAAGGATACATTCCCCAGCCTCCCTTATAGCTAGGAATAGTTACATGACTAAGTTTTGGCCACACACACAATGGAATATTATACACACACATATATATATACACACAAACACACACATTATTATATACATATATAAACGCACCCCACAATATCACACACATATATACACACACATACATAAATATACACATTTTCTTTATCTGTTCATCTGTTGATGAATACTTCAGTTGCCTCCGTGTTTTAGCTACTATGAAAAATGCTGCTATGAACATGGGTATCCAAATATCTCTTCAAGACTCTGCTTTCAATGCTTTTGAGAATATACCCAGAAGTGGAATTGCTGGATTATATGGTAATTTTTTCTTGAGGAACTGCCATAACTGTTTTCCACTGTGGCTCTACCATTTTACGTTCCCACCAACAGTGCACAAGGGTTCCAATTTTTCTACATCCTCACCAACACTTGTTATTTTCTGTTTTTTTGATAGTAGCCATCCTAATGAGTATGAAGTAGTATCTTGTTGTGTTTATTTGCATTTTCCTAATGATTAACAATGCTGAGCATTTTTCATGTGCTTTTTGGCCATTCATGTATCTTCTTTGCAGAAATGTCTATTCAAGTCCACTGATCATTTCTGAATGGGTTTTTTGTTATTGCTAAGTTTTAAGAGTCTCTATATATTTAGGATATTAATCCCTTACCAGATATATGGTTTACAAATATTTTCTACCAGTTCTGAAGGCTAGAAGTCCAAGATCAAGGTGCCAGCTTGTGGGCTGCCTTTTTGTTCTGTTGAACTGTCCTTTGAAGCATGAAAGTTTTAATTTTTTGGAAGTTCAATTTGTCTATTTTGGCTTTTGTTGCTTGTGTTTCTGGTGTAACATACAAGAAATCATTGCTATATCCAATGTCATGAAGATTTTGCCTATGTTTTCTTCTAAGAATTTTATAGTTTTAGCTCTTTTGTTTAGGTATTTGATCCATTTTGAATTAATTTTTTTCTTCTGCCTGTGGCTATCCAGTTTTCTCAGCACCTTGTTGAAAAGATTGTCCTTTTCCTCCATTGAATTATGGACTGAATGTTTGTGACCTTCCCCAGATTCGTATGCTGAAGCTCAGTCCCCAACGTAATGGTACTTGGAAGTGGGGACTTTGGGAGGTAATTAGGTCATGAGGATGGAGTCCTCAAAAATGAGATCAGTGCCCTTACAAGAAGAGACAGAGGAGAGATGATTTCCCCCTCTCTCTCTCAGCCATATGAGTAGACAGGGAAAAGATAACTACCTGCAAACAAGGAAGAGGACCCTCACTGGAACCTGACTATGCTGGCACCTTGATCTTAGACTTCTAGCCTTCACAGCTGTGAGAAATAAATGTCTGTCCTTTAAGATACCCAGTCAAAAGTATTTTTGTAATAGCAGCCTGAACTCAGGGAGATAAATGGCCTTGGCATCTTTGTCAAAAAATCATGTGGCCATATAAGTAAGAGTTTATTTTTGGGCTCTCTGTTCTATTCCATTGGTCTATATAAGGTTTGTCTGTCTTTATGTCAGTGCCACATTGTTTTGATTACCATAGCTTTGTAGTAAATTTGAAATCAGGAAGTGTTAAGCATTCCAACTTATTTTTTTTTAAGATTGTTTTGGCTATTTAGGGTCCCTTGAGATTCCATATGAATTTTAGAATGGATTTTTCTATTTCTGCAAAAAACATTGCTGGGGTTTTGATAGGGATTGCATTGAATTTGTAGATTGATTTGTATAGCATTGACTTTTAACAGTATTAAGTCTTCTAATCCATGAACATGAGATGTCTTTTTCCATCTATTTATATATTCTTTAATTTCTTTCAGCATTGTATTTTAGTTTTCGTTGTATAAGACTTTTACCTCCTTAGTTAATTCCTAATTATTTTATTCTTTTTGATGCTATCGTAAATGGAATTGTTTTCTTAATTTCCTTTTCAGATTGTTCATCATTAGTGTATAAAATGCTACATCACTGATTCTTAATGCAGAAGAGGAAACCTTTTGCCTTCCACTCGCACCTAAATTGAAAGTAATTGCACACAATGAGAAGTGTTGTTGAGGAAACGTATAGGGTCAATAAAAAGGGTCAACAGAGTACCATGAGATACTTAGACAGTTTCAACATGGAAGCACAGACACACATCAGATATTCTTTGCTAATGTTTCTTTTTCATTTTTCATGGAACCCAAATTGTGCAGAAATTATTTTTTTAAGAGGAAGGGAAATGGTTAACCACTGAAATAGCCATAAAAGAAATCTGCTGAGAAAATCATGTGGACAAAGCTTAAAAACACACATACCTCTTAGAGACAAATGACCAAAAAGGCACCCTTTTAGTTTAAAAAAAAAAAAAAAAAAAGAATGTGGTTCATTTCTACACACTGCTCCTCCCTCACCCAATCAGCCCAGCCTTTGGTGATGAACTATGACTTGGCATATACTGAAGTTTACCTTTGAAGGGACCCAGCCTCACCCTGGAGCCACCAGAGGGCCACTCCAGAGATACGCCCAGTGGCGGATTCTGCTTATTCTAGGAGTTGGTGGGACAGAGAGAAACAGAGTCAGAGTCTGGTTCTCTTGGGGAAATTGAATTTCTGAAGCCACTTCTGGGATCTCAGAACAGTTCTGGGAGTTGGTGGGGGTGATAACCAAAGGTTGGATCGTGCTAAAGCAACATTCTTTTGTCTAGCATGCCGTTCTGAGCCCAGCAATTGGCAGCACCTGCCAGGTA